TCTAAGTGCACACCCCCTCTAAGTGCACGCTATCACTCATTCCCGAGGGGGGTGCACTTAGAGGGGGTTGACTGTATATGCCAGGTTTTGTTCCCTCAAGTTTTTTTATGAGAATCATTCTTTTGGAGCTCTCTGAGTTTGATATTCCGACTTCCTGTGGTGAATGTTGGACTCAAGATATAATAAACATTTCAAAAACTTGATGCAAAAATCGAATTTAAAATTTAATTTCTTTAAATGAAACTTCATCGGAAGTTCAAGATGCACAAAATGCTAGTGATAAATCACAGCAGGGATTACTTTTTAATGTAATAATAACAACTCAAACATTAATAAAAATTTGGGTGAAATTGACAGATAGATATTTAGATGACTCATTTGAATGGTGGAATGAGCATAAAAGGGATTCTACAATTCTTTCAGAACTAACCAACCTCAGCTCCTAGTGAGAAGTTGTTCAGCATTGTTGGTAATAAATAATATTACCAATAAACGCACACAAACTTTGAAGCCAAGTATTGTAAAAAATTGATTGATCTTTTTAAAACAGACAGAATATAGAAAAAATGAATAGCTTTAATGATCTCATTTTTATGCGTACATTTGTACATTCTAACTTTTATTTGTCGAACCCTGGTAAGTTGGATCTAGGAAGAAGAAGAATAAAACTCTTATCATTATTGAAATTCTTAATGAAACAATCATTTTAAATAATAATAATAAGTTAGCAGATGTTTACCTTGACTTGGATATACGATACCAGCTGCAGTTTGACTAGGTGGTGCTGGAATTTGTATTGATTCAAGTGGCGGCAGAATAAGCCCTTGAGATACAGTAACTGCTTCTATTTCTGATTTAGGCCCTGTAGGTCTTGGTCTACCCCAAGATATTTTCAAATCATGGTCTTTAATATTTAAATTATTATGTGATTTTTCTACTGCTTGTTCAGCTGAAGCCCTGGTTGCATAATTAACAAATGCACATTTTGATTTATGTACAACTACAACTGATTTGATTTCTCCAAAAGCATAAAAATGCCCCCTAAAAAAATTAATTGAACAGCAAGAAAAAAAAAATTAGAAAAATAATGTAATAAAAAGATAATATGAAATAATCAATTTATACCTTAGATCTGATTCTGTAATGTCATCTTCTATTCCTGTAATAAATAATGAAGTCTAAAATATATTTTTATATTAATGTTACACTAATTAAAATTAAATTTTATTATTATATTGTATTGTGGGAAAAGCATGAGCAAATGAATCAATGATAACATACTATAGTTTTATCTTCAGGAGGGGTAATGTTTGAACCACCACCACCTTTTACCCGATTAAGCATTTTCTTGGCAACTGGATCATTGGTTCCATAATATCTATCTTTAATGTTTTGATGTGACAACTCATTTTCTTCGGGTATTTCATGCCTTTATTCCCACCAAAAAACAATCGTGTATAAAAACAGGTTAAATAATTAAACTGTCACCCAAAAAGCAAATCACTCAAATCAAAAATTACCCACCTGTAAGGACATTCGTCGCCACGTGTGCAGTTTCCTTTAACATAAAATGAACAAATATGTGGTCTATTTCGTTTGTAATAAGGTTCTGTTCTAGCTAATTTTTTTAGCATGTCTTTTCCTGCTGAATCAGCCTTTCCATAATTTATAAGGCTTTCTGGACCCGAAATCTTATATAACAAAAAGTGATTAATTGATGGAGAAACAAAAATTAAATAACTAAATTCATTTAAAAAGAAATAATTTTATATCACCAACCTTTCCTTCAATATTTTGTGCAAAGTACTCTCTGTTAATATCAGATCTAGGCGCATCATTAGTAACATTAAGAGCAGTATCACGAACTTGAACTGGAAGATTATATTGTAAATCCAATAAACATGTTTGACAGACATTTTTTAATTTTGCACAGGTTTGACATATTTCTGTTTTTTTATATCTCATTCCAGCACCAGGAAGCCATCGGAAAATTGTAAAAGGACGAGAGCACACCTATCGCAAAAACCAATAAAAACAATAAATAATCGAAGAAATAAATTTTAAAAGTCAAAAAAATAAAAAACTCACTTTACATTCTTTACCATAACATTGTTTAGTCTTTAAGAAAAAAAGTTTCATCAGTCAAAAATTTAAAATGAATATGTAAATAATAACAATAGGTAATACATACCATTCGAACGTAAGGGTTATCTCCCAAACAAGTTTCGCAAAGGATTGGAAATTCCTAAAATAAAAAATAATAATAAATAAATAGAATGACAACCAAAGAAAAAAGCTATTTTTATTTTTTGATCTGAATTGTTAAAACTTTACAGATTCTTCCCATCCTTGCTTGTTTGGATCAGATTTGTGTGCCATTTGTCAAAAAATTAAAAAAATTAAGACTCTTTAAAATGTATTTTTTGGGAATATTTGCACCAATTATTTAATATTTATATATTCAATTACATAAATTTCTAAAAAATTTTTCTTTGATTGTAAAATTAGGGTGTCAACTACAAATAGTTCACTTGGTTAAGTAAGGTCCCTAAAAATTATTACAAGAAAATATAATTTTAGTCTGCTAAAAATAGTATGGAACGAAAGAAACTTACCTTTTCACTGTTAAAAAATTTTATAAACCTGTTTTGTTAAAAATTTTGTAATTTTTTATAGAAAAAAATCGAAAACAGTTTTTGATTTCTGGGATAAAATTTAGCATCACGATTGTCAAAAACATCATCATCATTATGAAAGCTTACCAAACGTCAAAATAGTAACTAAAAATGCGGGAGATTCTAAAGCACAAAAAATTTAAGATTCTAATGTTCTTTAAACTTGACGTAATCGAAGAAAAGTTTTGAATTAGTAATTTATAATTTTTATAATTAATTGTTCTATTCAATCCATATTTTATATATTCATAATAAAATTTTATTTCCCTTTGAATTAATTTCGTAACATATACCTGGATAAAAAAATACCCTCAAACACACCACCATCCAACCATGTTTAAATCAATAGTAAATTAAAAAGGTTTGGTTGGTTTTCCAAGTTAATTATTATTTAATTCGTTTACAAATACATTACATCTTACTTCACTACATGAGAACTAACAAATTGAATCCATATACCACTTTGAAATTGAAAGTAAATGTTATAATGTGTATTTAACATAATAATAATATCACTATTTTCTTCTACCCTCTTAATATTTAATGTTAATAATAATATTAATGACATTTGAAATTGGATTTGTTTAAAAATTTCAATTCGTACAAGCAAAGTCAAAACTTTTCTTCTACGCTTTTAATACTACCATTAGTTTTTGCTTGCTTCCCCTTCTAGTTGAATATAGAAGGATCCTTAAAGGATCCCTAATAGTAAATCAAGGAATCTTCGGGGATATTTTTCAAGGGTTCTTCGCGGGCGGCGAAGGATCCCTACTAATAAAAATTTGGGGGAATCCTTAAACTCGAAAGTTTCCTGATGCATTTACCAGAATTTCCATAGAAATTTTTATATGTAGGGTAGGAAAGTAATCAGATTTTGTAAAGTCCATGAAAGAAAAATGTACAATTCAAAAATATAATAATTAACTGTGCACACTTTATTCAAAATCTGTGACCAACAGTTGGCTATGATCGTGACCACTATTATAAAACGCGAAATATGATATTCAATTAAGAATAGACTGTTATAATTTTAAAATAGATTCACGTGTATATATATTGCATTCTTTCTCAAAAAAAATAAGATTAATTAGGGATATGATAGAAATCTATATATACACACTAGGTATATATATTTTTAATCTATTTATCAACTTGTAAACAATGCATTCTCCTTTTTCTCCACTCCTCGTTAACTCCATAATATATAATAAATATACAAATAATATATAAAATATAAATTATATGAATTATATAAATAGCCTAAATAGAAATTCTTAAGTCCATAAAAGTAAATAATTTATTTAATAGCAGTAGTAGTATTGTTAATATTATCTTCTTTCTTAATGATTTCTACATAATTAGCTGGAAACAATCCTTGCTCCCCATTTCTTAAACGGCCTCTCCACCATTGAGAAGGTTGTCCCCACATATCTACCTTACTCAAAATAGCAATTATATCACCACGCTGGAATGTTAATTCAACCTGTGACTCCCCTCTAAAATCATAAGTTGCTTGACACATTTCAAGATTGGCTAATAAATTATTATTATTATTACTACTACCAACATCATTAATATTATCATTTAGAATAGTTTTGGAAGAAGAATTTGCTAAATCAAATGATAAGTTTTGTTGTTGCTGTTGTTGACGTCTACCAGCAGAGAAAGCATGTATAAATTTATGCATAAGATATGGTAATCCAAAAACTGCAATTACAAAAAATAATAAAGGTCGTCGAGAATATTTACGTTGCTCTTGAAATTGTTGATAATCAGCCACATTCAAATTACTAGGATCAACTGGTGGCTGTCTACCGGTCAGTTTGTAAAATAAATGCTTTATCCATCTAATCAATGCAAAAATACTTAAAACTTGACCCAAATAATTTCTCAAACTGCCAAATTGATCAACAACTCCAACCATTGCCATAAATGATGAATGTGTAGCAAAATATGTTGATTCCAACATTTGAGCAAATCCACCAAATGCATTCACTATTGACTCAATCATTTGAAAGCCTGCTGCTGTATTGGCCTCCATTCGTTGTGTAAGTGACATTTCATCTGGTCCACCTGGTCCCATCATTCCACCACCGCCACTACCATGACCAAAGCGATTATATGGTGAACCATATGAATTATAAGAGCCATATCCACCATATCCACCACCATATGAACCATATCTACTGTATGGCGATGAATAACTTCCATACCTAGAGTATGGTGACCCATAAACACCACCATACGAGCTGCCATACGAGCTACCATACGAGCCGCCATACGAGCTGCCATATGAGTTATAACTAGAGTATGGTGAATATCCTGTACCATAAGATCCATAATCTATGTATGATTAATTGATTATTAATTAATATTAATTTATATTTGATTTAATTGATTTCAATAAACTTACTTCTATTTGTTGTACCAGTATTCATTGATGTAGTAGTAGGTCTGGGCGGAACAACTGGTGTTGAATCATTATTATTGATGTTGTAATTGTTGGTTGTAGTAGAACTATTTAATAT